ATTGCAAAGTTAATCATTTTAAAGTGCTTAGCACAGTGCCTGGCACATTGTAAGCTATTATCATTATCATTATCATTATTATTAGGCTGCATTAAAAGAGAAATAGCCTCCAGGAATAAGAAAGTGATACATGCTGCCCCTGAAATCTGCCCTGGTCAGATAATTCCTGGAGTATTGTGTTCAATTTTGTGCATCCCAGTTTAGCAACCATGTTGATAAACCAGTGTGCAGAGAAGGACAGCTAGGATGGTGAAGGACCTTATGTTAGTGACATGAGAAAATCACTTGAAGGAACTGGGGATGTTTAGCTTGGGGAAGGGGAGACGACAGGGGAGGCAGCAAGGGGGATGGTTGGACAATACAGCTGACTTCAAATATATATTTAAAAGGATATTGTAGGCAAAAAGAAGTAAGCCCCAGAAGGCAGAATTAGGAGTGTAGCATCTAATAGTTAGAAGTTTCAGACAGACAAGTATAGGTTTAATGGAAGGAAAAATTTCCTAACAACGAGATCTATCCAAAAAGAATGGGCTAACTTGGGAAGTAGGGAAGACAAGCTTCAATCCAAGACTGGCTAGATGATTGACTGGAATGTTGTGAAGGATTTTTTTTCCAGGTATGGATTGAACTAGTCTGATTCTGAGGTTTCTTTCAAGGTTGAGATTCTGTGATACCCCCCCCCCACTTCTGCCTTTTCCTTTCTCAACACTTTTCTTTAACCAAAAATGCTCTGTGAGCATTGCAACTTCTTGGCCAAAATATGACAATGGAAAGGCATTTGCTCTCTGGTATTCCTTGTTGCCCTCATTCCCAGGCCATAATCTCTGAGCCATTCATTCAACAAATATTTACTGAAAATCTACTCTAAATGAATGAAGCATTTCCCAAGTACAAAACACTATATTACTATGTACTAGGCTTATGGGTTGTATAGAAATCATTAAGTCCCAACCCTCAATTAATACAACAGAACTGGGGCAGCTAGGTGGCGCAGTGGATAGAGCACTGGCCCTGGAGTCAGGAGGACCTGAGTTCAAATCCAGCCTCAGACATATAACACTCACTAGCTGTGTGACTGGGCAAGTCACTTAACCCCAATTGCTTCACACACACACACACACACACACACACACACAGGTACAACAGTACTGAGTGGGGTAAGTGCTCTAAAATGATACAAAAATATGCTGTGGAACTTAGGAAAGTAAGTGAGCTGGCAGGATTTTGATGGGAAAAAGAAAGATGTGGCTTTTTCCCCCTCTTGTAGATAATGGGGGACCATTAAGTGTTTCTGAGCAAAAGAGAGCTACTTTAGGGAAATTAATCCTGTAGGATGTGCTTGGATAGATTGGTGTTTTGTCTAAAGGCACAAAGCTAGTTAGTGGCTGATTTATAAATTGGTGAGAAGTGGAAAGGACCTTTAAGACAGAGGTGTGAAAAAGAAAGGTGAGCAGTCTATCTTGTAGACCAAAGTAGAGTTCGTGCAAAAAAATAACGGACCATGAGATTGTAAAGCTGCATATCTAATTCAGGCCCATCATTTTACAGTTGTGGAAACTGAGGCTCAGAGAGAGGAAGTGATTTGCTCAAGGGCACACAACTTGTGACAGATATCAAAACTGACCCCATGGCACCCTTAATCCTAATTTCAGGGTTCTTTCCATCACATAATTAGACCCAGCTCTTCTTATTCTCCCTCCCTGTGCTTTTCACACTATGATAAGTGATGCATATAACATTCCTTGCCCTTGAAGAACTCTCAGTCTGGTTTAGAAAACAAGATCTAGGGAGTAAGATTGGAGTCATCTCTGTAGAGCTGAATGCTCCAGATACAATACTAGAAATTATCAGGCTATATACTAGGCTGGGAGCTAGGGCCTAATGAGGTAATTTTACCCAGTCAGTCATGTGTTTATAATGACAAGGGAATCCTCCTGGATTGTCTCCCCATATGTTAAATGGAAACAGTGCTACTTACAGGTTTGCCCTATTGGAGTCGCTCCTAGGAGAGGATTGTCTGTCTGTCTGTCCATCAGTCAGGGGTGGTGGTCCCAATCAAGGTGTTTTCTTCCTCACAGACCTCTTCCAGCCAGAAACAGATTAATAATTCCATAATTTGTTGGACCACCAACCCTGATGAAATGAGCCAAAGTAGAGCTATCTGTCCACCTCTCAGCCCTCTAGGCTGTGTTTGGTTTGGGCTGGTAGGTTTAACTGCTCAGATTAGATTAGATTTGATCCGATTAAAACCCAGGCCCATTTGCTTCTGACTTGGCAGCTGCCAACCTTTTCCTAGCTGAGCCCAGGGCCCCATTTGGGAGGGTGTAGTAGGACAACCTAGGATCTCCCTGGAAATAAACATGCTTTTCCAGGCTTCTCTCCCCGACCCCCAAGAAGCTCCTCTTCTTTGTACATTGGGAGTTGGGAGGAGGGGAGGAGGAGGGGAAAGTATGGAGTTTGGAGTGGGGGAAGAGAAGATAGCACAACATCTCTATGGGAAGATAGGTCTCCTGTCTTACTGGGACTTTGAAACTCTTTCTAGGAGAGCAAAGATGTGCTGTCATCATTGTACAGTTGACCAAGGCCACTTGAGGGTGCTTGTAACTCAAATTCTGAGATTCTATGAAAGACTTACCAATATACAAATAGTATCTCTCTGTAGGAATGCACAGTTATTGTCTGTGCTGCGGTGAGTCTGCGTGGTGTCTGTGTCTGTGTGTTCATGTGTGCCTTCATCCCAATGTCTGAATTCCTATGTCCCCACATGGTCTAAGGTCAAAGTCTCTGTTGCAGCTTGTGGGTGCCTTTTTAAACATTCTCTCCACCACCCCAAATTCCTGAGCCTACAGGACCTTTGTACACAAATTGAAGTCTATCATCGTCTCTTTGTGCTCACATGCCCTCCCCCTACCCCCAGCGTATGCCCTACACAGATCTGTGTCCGGTACTCGGCACACTCAGGCGCAAGGGGATGTGTCCAAGGCTTGTGTGTGCCCAGCTGCCCTCCGTCCTCATGGCGCTGTTTTTTGCATTGCCTTCCTCCATGTGTCCGCATCCTGTCCTTCCACGGGTGTAGGGAGGAGGGGTCATTGCGTCCCCTAGGTGTGTGTGTGTGGGTGTCATTCCGTCCCTCTTGGAAGGAGTTATTACGTCCCCTCAGCCCGTGCACGTTGAGGGTCGCGATGGTGGTCATACCAGCCCCTCGAGGGCGCGTTAGGCTCTGGGGAGAGAAGGCGGGAAGACATCTCCCCAGACATCACCACCCAGCCCTGAATAGTCGGTTGGCCAGTCGCTTGAATGGGAGGCGGGGGAGGTACGAGGGGAGACAATCAATGCTTGCCAGTCTGGTCCCTGCAGGGGCGGAGGCTGTGGGTTCGGTCATTGCCGGGTCTCCCCTGTCCTGTGTAATGTCAGTTATTCTGACCCTTCTCTAGGGCGCAGGAGAGACGGAGAGGGCGTGTTCTCCCAGGGACTGTTCGTCTGTCTCCTCTCCCGAGGACAGGGCTGTAGGTCAGTCAGTCAGGAAGGGGTGCGGCTGAGGGGCCGAGGCACCCCCTTGATCCCCCTCCTCTGCGGGCGGAGATAGCGGGGAGGGGGGGGAGGAAAGGAGGAGGCCCCCGGAGCCAGGCGTCAGCATTACGTGCGGAGGAGCCGCGGCTGGTGCAGTCGGCAGGGAGGCGGCACCGAAGCCGGGGCTATGCAGCCCGCCGGGGCGCTGGAGGGGCGGTGCTGAGCGCCGGCAGCTGCGGTTGGGAGGGATACCCAGGAGGAGGGAGGTGCGGGTGACTGAGAGGGGAGGCAGAGGGAGAGCGGGAGCGGGAGCCTGGCGGAGGCTCGGGAAGAGGACGGAGCCACCGGCGCCGGGCCGGGGAGAGCACTGGGGCGGGATGCGGCTCTCGCTGACCTTTGCGGGCTGAAGCGGGAGCGGCCGTCCTGGGGAGGCGGCGGCGGCGCCGGCGGGAAGCAGCAGCCCGAGGAGGAGGACAGCGGCGGGAGCGGAGCTGAGCCTGGTCAAGCCGGAGCTGGACGGGCAGCGGCGGGATGGGCCGAGCCGGGCGCGCGGGGGGCGGGGGGCCGGTCAGCCGGCGGAGGCTGCTGCTGCTCCTGGGGGCCGTGCTGATCCTAGCCGCCTGCCTCGCCGGGGCCGCACCGGGTAGGTGCAGAACGCGACCCTCCTCCCTACACAGCCGGAGTGGGGGTGGGGGTAGGGGGGCACGGGCCTTGGTCTCCTCTGCTCTAGCGGGGCCCCTACCAGGCAGACAACGCTAGACCCCCGGAGCCGAGACGGAAGAAAAGGGAGCGTCCCCTTCGACCCCAAAACGAGACTGGGGGTGGGGGGCTTGGCGCGGGGATGTGCGGGGCGGGAGTGAAGCTTTGGAAACCTCGCACGTGTCCAAGTCCCTACACCCCACCCTCCCGGAGATTAGGTGAGGGGAGGCTCCCGTAAGGGAAGGGGGTTCACAGGGGTTGTCCGCCCCCGCCCCCCAGTCCTTCTGGCCGCTCTTCAAATTGGCTGCACCCGAGCGATGTCACCAATTCCCCACTCCCCTGCCCTCCCCTCCCCGTCAGTGACATTTGTCACCCTAACGCCAGGCTGGGAGGGGGCGCGAGGTGAGACGGGGCGGAGCCATGACTGAGAGAGGGCTAAGCTGAGGGGTGGGCCCTGGAGCGCGGCCAGCTGCAGGTGGCCGGGGCGCGCGGGCTGGGGACCAGGGGAGGGGGCTGGAGGCTGACCGCCGGAGAAGGGGCTCTCGCCAGACCGGGCGCCGCCCTAACGCCCTCGCTCTTTTCCTCCTCCTCCCTGCTGTCCCACCGCAGCCTCAGAGCCCAGCACTGCGGGCGATGCCCCACTGGCCGTCGGGGAGCGGGGAGGGCCGGAGACCCAGGAGAGCCGCCGAGAGCGGGCGCTTCGGGCCAACGACACGCGCCAGGAGGAAGGCGCAGGGCAGGACGAGGCAGCGGCCCTATCTGAGGGGCGTGCGGGACGGGGTGAAGATGAGGCTGGCCCATGTTGGGACTGCCCCCCAGGGACCACTGTGAGGGTCGGAGCCCTGTCCGAAGAAGCCCTGCTGGAGGCTTCCGCAGCAGTGACCGGGGCAGCCTGGCCTGAGGCCATGACTCTGGAGCTGGCCCCTGAGAACCGAGAGGAGACTGGCAGTGGAGACTCCCAGGCCAGTCGAGCCACCCTCCCTGGCCTTGAGGAGGCTCTCAGAGAGACAGAAGTACCACCCTCTGGGGAAAGTTGGGGTCCAGCTTCAGAGCCAGTAGGGGCAAAGGGGCCTCCTTCTCCTACCCTAGGGGGTCACCTCAGCCTTACCCTGCCAGGCTCCGGCCCCAAGCTTCCTGATGTGGCCCACAAGGAAAACCCCTTGGAGTTATGGCTGAGCCTGGGCAGTAGCCTGCCCAACCCTCATGTGCCAGCTACTGCCTCTCCACCTCTGGGTACTCCAGAGCCTCAACCTTCCTCAGAGATCATCGACATGGACTACTATGATGGCTTAGACTCTGAGATCCGGGGTGCTGACTTGGGGAGCTTCCCAGAGTCCCCTGACACTTCCCATCAACACATTCACCCAGGTGAAGATGCGCCATCCTGGAGCCTGACTGACATGTATGATGACTTCACCCCCTTTGATGAGTCTGACTTCTACCCCACCACCTCCTTTTATGAGTTGGAAGAAGAAGAGGAGGACGAAGAGGATGAAGCAGCTGTTCAGGACCTAGAAGATGAAAATGACCAAGGACTACCTGGCCTGACACCCAGCACGGGTCCAGGCATTTCCCAGCCCACCAGTCGTTGGCATGCAGTACCTCCACAACAGACTCTGGGGGTGAACCCAGACAACAGTATCACCTTCAGGCCTCGTCCAGGAGAAGTAGGCAAAGAACTGGCACCAAGTGAGAATGGCACAGTGTGCCGAAGTGGCTTTGTTAGGCACAATGGCTCCTGCCGGTCAGTGTGTGATCTCTTCCCAAGCTATTGCCACAATGGAGGCCAGTGCTACCTGGTGGAGAATTTAGGGGCCTTTTGCAGGTAAGGGTGGGGCAGAGGGATGAACACAGTCCAAAAAAAATCTATTCTTGGGAATATTGTCATAACCTCTTTCTAGGAAAGGTGCAGTCTTCAGGAAACTAGACAGACAACTTTTGCAAACAACCTAGATTAACAAAGGTTAGAGCTATAGAACCCTAACCAATCCACAACAATGCCTATTGCAGGATTTCCACTTAGAGTGTCTACTCTATGATTTTATCACTTGAAAAAGATTTACCAAGAATAAAACTTACGCCCTCTTCCCCATTTCTTCAGATTAGAAAATGGGGTCCTGCTATCCAAATTTTTTGGAAGCAGCTTTTCCTGGTCAGATCTGCACACTGCAGATGGAAATGATGGATTTCCTCTAAGGACAAAGAAAGGATTTTGGATGAGATCCTTGAAAGGCTGAGAAATCTAGGAAGGAAAATTCCAGCTTCAGGAGCTAAAAGAGGATTGGCCCTCAAGATAGAAATAAAGGAGACAGGGCACGTTGGAATAGAGGAGGATGCTGGACCTTTCATTTTTAGTTTAATTCTTGTACTTAGTATCAAAGGAACAAAATTAATTTTTAACAGAAGCACTGAGGGATGGAGGATAGATCTCCCTTTAAAAAAAGAAAAGGCTAAATTTCTGATTGAAAGGCTCCTGTCCCCCAAATCCCTGGTTCAAAAGTGCTAAGAGCTCAGTTTCTTCAACCCTCTTCCCCTTTTCCTCCTCCCTGGCTGCTTGTGTTTTCCAGGGATCACTCTTGGCTAGAGATTGTCAAGTAAATCCATAAACCACTGTTGATTTAATGGCCTATTGACACTGTCCCTTTGCCAAGCCTAACATTTCCTTTCCTTCTGACCACTGTGGGTTATATGATAAGCACCAGGCTTGTTACAATGTGAGATATGGAATTGTCTTTCTCTGTGGTAATATGTGAGGCCCGACTGTGGACAGGAAAGGCTAATCTTTGGAGAAAGTTCAGAGAGGAACATCCCTTTGGTAATGGACTCAAAGATTAGTCCTTCAACTGGGCAAAATTAGCAAGTTGAGATATGAATTCTTTTTTGGAGTCTCCTAGTCCCTTGCCATATCCAACATTGCCAAAAATGTAAACTAGCCTATTAGTTTCATGCTCAAGACTCTACCTTTTTCTTCTACCCTGGATCCTGCCTACTTTGATACCCAGTCCATACTGTAAAGGAACTGAGAAGTTTGATAGCTTTGAAAACATTTTGTAGAACATCTAGAATACATAGGCTGCTATTCAATCTCTTGTCAGAACTTAGTGATTTTATTCACTACCAGTATTGGGTAGTGTCTTGATGTTTGAACTGATAATGGGGAACTCAGCTTTAAAAGGAAGAGACACAGACAAGAATGATGAAGACTAGAAAAGTTTGTCTTCAGCTTTCACAGAACCCAAGGGGATATATAACTTGTGGTTGAATAGGTGGGAAGAGAATTCCCTTTAGTCTCAGCAATAGAATTTCTACCATTTTCTTGGGTGAACAATTTCTTCATCTTGGGTAACTCAGCTTCAGGTTTTATTCCTGATGTTTCTTTCACTTAACTCTTGAAGGGGAAATGAAGAAGTCAAACTACTTAAATCCTAAAAAGAAAGATAATCTATGAAAAGGAAGATACATATTCCTTCTCCTCATTAAAGGAGTAAAGGACAGCGAGTATAAAGTGTTGGAGATACTTCCTGGAAAAAAAAAAAAAAAGAAAGATAATCTATGGGAATTAGCACAAAGATTGTGAGTTTTGTTGATCTGGGACTAAAGCTTCTGTTTGCTTCTGAAAATGGTTTGAATCATCTGGGATTGCAAAGAGTAAGTTGTAGAGTGTCCTATAGGTTGTATATACTGATCCTCTAGTTGCTCCACAAGGAGCCATTCAAAGGCAGTCAAAAGAGAAAACAGAGTCTCATCTAATGATTTTCTAACAGGAAACTGTGGCTACGCTCGATGCCATCACCTGGTTGGCGTCCTAGGCTTCTGTTTCTAGAAGCTTAGTTCGAGGTGAAGGAACCACAGAGGAAATACTAGCCTGTGCCCCATAGCAGTCGATGATGCAGTATCCTCAGCACCCAGTCAAGGGAATCTGAGTTTCCACCCTTAGAGAGTGGAAATAAAAATATGAAATTAAGATCCTTTGTTACTTCTTGGAGATTGTAAAGGCTCTTAGAGCCTTCTTAAAGTCACAGACCATCTCCAAATGGGGAATGTAAGATGATGAACCACTGAGCTTTGGCTCTACTCACACAAGCTCTAGCAGTGGACATGTACTAATCTCAGGAGAAGCTTCCCACAATTTCATCCCAGTTGCCCTTTTCCCATTTTTCATCCAAGTTGTACTCACATGTTCCCTTATTAAAGAATCTGATTTTGGAAGTGTATATCCATTGGCATTGGCTAGAAAGCTCTCGTGCATTCCAGGCACATATGACTGAACCCCCAGTTGCTGTCTTGCAGCAGTTTCTATCTCCGCTGCCTTCTTTTTTCTGGGACATAATCAGAGCATTGAGGTTTAATTTCTCTGTAATAGAAGAATAAGGACCCTCTGGTAAGTGAGCTGAGTTCTGTAGGGTCTTCAAAATAGTGAAAGTCATCTAGTGTCTTTGATAATGCAGTTTGGAAGGAAATCCCTTGGGTTCCAAGCAATACCCTAGAGATTGGGAGTAGCAAATTCCATCTTGCAAAATCCCCTTTCTAGGGCCCCATTCCCTTGTCATTCAGTGGGGTTCATGTCCTCCTTCCATTGCCTTTTCCCATCTCCTTCTACATCTTTCCCCTTTGAAGCAGCCTGGTTCCCATGGAAACAGCAATGTCTTTGGAAGAACTGGAGCCTGGAAATGTCCTCAAGGGCAAGAGAAAGTCACCGAACAGAGGGCCTAGGACAGTGCTTAGAAAGCTACTATAAAAGATTTTGGGTAATAGTTCCAATAGCAATAGGAAGAGGACTTGAAGGGTCATGCTATAGGGGCCAAGGCAGTGGGGTGGGACTATCTGTGTATATATCACTCTGTCTTTTTATTCCCCATGTATATCAGCATCTAGCAAGTCACATGTACAGAGTGTAGTTATAAAGTAAAGAGAGTGATTCCCCAAGTCAGACACAAAAATCTGTGTCATTTCTTTAAAGTCATTCATAATATTTGCCTCTTTTTCAGCCCCTTTTCATCTGGGGTTCTCTGCATCAGGGACAGTGCCCAGGAAAATTCCTGTGACTGCCTTTCTCAAGAGGCAGGTTGATGTAGTGGAAAAGCACTGGTCTAGGAACCAAAAGACCTGGGTTCTGCAACTCAATAGGCATGTGAGCGTGGGCAAATCACTCAACTTATCATTCACAGCCTTGGCTTTCTTCTTTGGAAAGTGGAAATAATAATATCTACCCAATCTTCTTTGTAGTTATAATTCCCAGATGATACAATTTAGGTGAAAGCACTTAATAGATTACATAAAGTGCTACATAAATGCATAAGGTTTTATATTACTAGACCTCTAAGCCACAGCTTTTTACCTTTTTTGTGTTGTGGACCCCTTTGGCAGTCTTAGGAAGCCTAACGGATCCTTCTCAGGTCATGTTTTTAAAAAGATTGAAGGACATGCTAAGTTCCAGTTAGAGTTGACTGGAAAATAAAGATGCCATTTTTTTCTGATCCAAGTTCCCAGACCTCCTGAGATCTATTTGCAGACCCTCTGCTTAGGCAGTTATAGGACTGTGCCAGTTTTTGAAAAGCCATTGGAATTTAGGGGGTTGGTTTATGTCCCAAGTCCAGGGATGCTTCATCAGGCCAGGACAGGTGTGACTCATTTCTGTCCCCATCCCACTGCTACTTCCCACAGGTGTAACACACAGGACTACATCTGGCACAAGGGGATGCGATGCGAGTCGATCATCACTGATTTCCAGGTGATGTGTGTGGCTGTAGGAACAGCTGCCCTCGTCTTGCTCCTCCTCTTCATGATGACTGTTTTCTTCGCCAAGAAACTCTATCTGCTTAAGACAGAAAACAGCAAACTGCGCAAGACCAAGTGAGTCTTTCTTCCATCTCTCCCTCCATAGCGATGTTCCCTCAGTCCCTCGGCAAACACCCCACACCCATGCCGAATAAATGTGGTGTAGTGGAAATTGTCCTGGGCTTGGAGCCAGGAGACCTGGGTTTGAATCCTGCCTCATATTCCTACCAGCTGTCGTGCCCAAGAGCAAATCATCTCACCTCTTTTGGCCTCAGTTTCCAAAGCTCCAAAATGGGGTTAATAATATTTGTAGTACCTGTTCTTGTGAGGAGAGCTTTTGTAAACCACAAGGTACTATGTGACATGGGATGATGTTCTCCAGGCAAGTTCACTTCGACTCATGGTTTTTGAGTTACCCAAGTACATGAAGAGTTAACTGCCTAGGACAGGGATGGGGAACCTGTGACCTCAAGGCCATTTAACAAATGCTTTTATTAAGGGGATTTGTTCTGTGAAGTTTGGATTCAATCGAAGGGCCACACTTTAGGACCTAGAGGGCCACGTGAAGCCTCAAGGATGCAGGTTCCCCACCCCTGGCCTAGAATTTTGCATGACAATTCAAACAGGAACAGGAAGATACCTTTAAGGGTCGTGTTCTGGGGACGCATACATTGTGACCTAGCACTTTGCTCCAAAGCCTCCATCTCCAGAGCACTCAGCTTTTGCTATGCATTCTCTAGGTATCTATCTCTTGGGAGGGCGGGGTGTGTTTATGTCATAGATTGTCTGCAGTGCCTGTTGGTCTGCATACGGATTGTCCAGGTACTGCAGCAGTGGCATATTCCCTGGTGGGAAGGATGCCACTCCTTGCCAGCAACACCCTTCCTTTAGCCTAAAGTGAGATAGCTGAGGCAAAATATCAGTCATGGGTTTCAGATTAAGATCTGGCAGCCCCTAATCCCCGGTGTGGGTGCCAGGGATCGCAGACCAGTTGCTATAGCCATCCTTTTCCCTTCTCCTTCCCCATTCGTTCCTTTGGATATTAAGAGCTGCTACCAGCTGCATATGCTTACCAAATGTAAGACAGCTCCGGGGAGCCAGAGATCAGAACCATCTTCCCCGGAGCCGTTCTTATGCCAAAAAGAAAGAGGTCAAAACCTCAACACATTCCTTTAAAGACCCGTCAACAATCTGGATATCTTTCGTGCCTACCCATAGATACTCGTCCATACTCTTACATGCATGTTTCTCTTTGTGTGTGTACCCTACTATACACTCACACTTGCAGATTTTCACTGCAAAGAAATTAAACTTTGAGGGGAAGCGAGAATGAGCTTAGATTTAGCCGAGTTTCCACATGTCCTAGGCTGAAATTTATCCTAACACTACCTGCCACCCCATTCCATTCAACCTGTAGCCCCATCCTGTGCCCTCACTTGACCCTGGAGCCCCAAGAAATGTGACTGAAGGACTTTTCCCTCAGCCCACCCTGGGGAAAGGACAAAACGCCATCTGCTAGGTCATCCTTTGCAAAGTGCAGCTGCTGGCAGCTCTGTGTAGTTCTGAAGCTGGCCAAAGGAGGGCTGGAGGGGCCCCTTTATTATGCCTGTGCATTGAGGCAAGGCCCTTTTCTGTATTTGTGATCACTCTGGAAGGACACAGGCCTGTTTCCCTGGCTGCTTCATTGATTGCTCCCCACCCCCCCAGCATATACATACCACCGGAGATGGGAGAGTAGTGATGTCCTATTCCCAAGCTGCTGCTTAGTGGGAGGAGGGAGGAGGAGAGAATTCTAAAGGCCATCCTCACTGACCATTTGGAGACAGCAGAAGTAGCATGGTAGCCTTTAAAAGGGGCAGTGGAGAAAATGCAGAGATAGAGTCTTAGTAAAGGTTCATTTTAAGAAGCATCAACAAGCAGAATGTGGAATAGAGAAATGACAGAGGGTACCAAGGCCATGAAGGTGTCTTAAGGTTTTGCCTTTGCTTGGGGTGCTTTCTCCAGCAGTGTTCAACGCACACTCAGTGGATTCTCTCTGTCCCTTAACTTTGCTGATGTCTCCTGTTGCATCACTTTTCTATCCAGGTCTTTCCTCTAGCTCTCCTAATGTGCTGTGTGTGTATAGTGGACTTAGGGATATTATTTAGGAAGTCTAGAACTTAAATGGATGTCATGTCAGACAGATCTTTAGTATCGGTGACATTCACTAATGTTCTTTCTCTTTAATTCTGTCCTGGTTAGCAGATTCCGGACACCATCTGAGCTCCACAATGATAACTTCTCCCTCTCCACCATTGCCGAGGGATCTCACCCAAATGTAAGGAAACTTTGCAACACTCCCCGTACCTCCTCCCCCCATGCCCGTGCCTTGGCTTACTATGATAACGTTATCTGTCAGGTAACTTGTCTTCTTCTCATTTCCTCTTCTGCATGCACCAGCCCCTCACCTGTGCTCTTGGGCTACTTCAGAGTGTCATTTAGAGGCACCTTTCAGAACCAAGGAGAGCATCTCGGAAGGTGGGGGTGGGAGTAGGCGGGGCAGCTCGGAATACCAGGATACTAAAGGCAGGAGCATAGAGATGTGGTTACTCATTACACCCGAATGACAGTAGAACTGGAGTACAAGATGCAGAGCTCTTAGCCACAAGGATTCCATCTTTGTTGGTTCATAGCTTCATTTGGGGCTTGTAAAAAATCCAGTTATTTCCTTTTTGCTTTTCATATCATCAGAGAGAGAGCTTTTGCTTTAATTATCATGAAGGATTCTGATCGATGAAGTAGTTAGTAGATAGTCTGGCTAACACTTCCAGGAATGTGAGAAACAGAGCACCCAACTTTTAGCCATGGTTTGAGGAGAATCAGGTTTGGCTGGCGAGCTTGTACACAGTTGTTGAGGGCCCAATGTCATTGAAAGATACCTGAGCACCAAAGGGAAAAATCACAAGAAAGAAAAAAAAAAAGATACCTGAGCAGCCACCAGTCTGGTGACAGGCCTGTGGTGGAAAATGGTGATGATCTGAGGGAGAATCAATCCAAATACTACTTTTAGGGTGGTGATTTGTAAATTACCAGTTGAGACCCAGAAGAAGCATTTAGGACCTTCTATAGACTGTTCTATGAACATGGTTCAATCTAATAAACTTTCCTCAAGTACCTACTGTGTGCAGAGCACTGTGCTAAGAATTGACAGGAGTGCAAATACAAAATTTGCATTAAACATGGTCCTAACTTCCCTGGAGCCTACAGTGTAAGATTGGCTCAATGTTCTGTAGAAGCCAGGAAAGTGATGGGCATCATCACGATGGAAAGAAAGAAAGAAAGAAAGAAAGAAAGAAAGAAAGAAAGAAAGAAAGAAAGAAAGAAAGAAAGAAAGAAAGAAAGAAAGAAAGAAAGAAAGAAAGAAAAGAAAGAAAGAAAGAAAGAAGAAAGAAAGGAGGGAAAGAAGGAATGAAGGAAAGAAAGAAAGAAGGAAGAAAGGGAGAGAGAAAGAAAGAGGGAGAGAGGAAGGAAAGGAAAGAAAAAGGAAGAAAGAGGAAGGAAGGAAGAGAGAGAGAGAGAAAGAAAGAAAAAGAGAAAGAAAGAAGGAAGGAAGGAAAGAAGAGAAAGAAAGGGAGGGGGAGAGAGGGAGGAAGAAAAGAAGGAAGGAAGAGAGAGAAAGAGAAAGGAAGAAAAAAAGAAAGAAGAGAAGAAAGAAAGGAAGGAAGGAAGGAAATAGTATCTTACCCTTTTTCATATGACAGCAAACTTCAAAAAATAGAACTTTTCAGATTAAAAAGATAGAGGCTGAGAAGAGATATGATTAAAATCTGTAGAATGATGAAGAACCTAAATCAAATTACAAAATACTGGAGGCAGACAGGATTTTCCTTAGAGGTTATCTAGTCCAATCCCTTCATTTTACAGATAAGGAAACAGAGGGAAAATTATTTCCCTAAAGAAGTAATAAGACATGCTGACATCATCCTTGAACCTTGAAGAGATAATTCCACAGAATCACAAGATTTTCGAGTTGGGAGGGACTTGAGCATTCATCTTGTCCAACCCATACCTAAAAGGAATCCTCCCTAAAATATACTCAACAGACCCATCTAGCCTCTACTTGAAGACCTCCAAGAAGAGAGAGCTCATTCCCTCTTGAAACAACCCACTCCACTTTTAGACAGCTCTGTTTGTTACCAAGTTTTTCCTGAGATCAGACCCAAATTTGTACTTTTGCAGCTTCTACTCAGCTCTTACTTCTGCCCCATAGGGCCAAACAGAACTAATCTGATCCCTCCTTCACGTGACAGCTCTTCAGATGTTTTAAGGTAGCTATAGTGTCTCCCCTGAATCTTCTCTTCTCCCAACTAAATGTCCCCAATCTTTCTGCAACATGGACTCAAGGCCCTTCACTGTCCTGATTGCCCTTCTCTGTATACTCACCAGCTTATCAATGTCCTTCCTAACTTCTGATTCCCTGAAATGGACACAATACTCTAGGTGAGATCCTACAAGGGCAGAGTATGGTGGAACTATGACCCTTCATTCCTGGAAGCTATGCCTCTAGTAATGCAGCACAAGATCAGATTAGATTTTCTGGCTGCCATGTCCCACTGTTGTTTCATATTGCATTTGCAGTCCACTAGGATCGGCAGATCTTTATCAGATTTTGGATAATGTAGCAGTTCACAAATAAAAAGAAGTGTTTACTTATATTTCAGATACTAAACATCAGAAACTTGTGGCTAAAAATGTCCATATGTTAAGAAAGGGTTTAGATAAATTCATTGGTAATAGCTCTGTGCTTGATCATTAAAGAAAACTATTTGGGGATATCGCTAACCTTGTAGTTTGCTGTAGGCTTCTCCAAACTGGTCCTTTGTGGCATTGTTAGACAGATAGTCCTAGCCTAGCTGAACTATGGTCCTAGACCAAAATGACAGTTCTTGTGGTCAGAAGATGAATGTTTCACAATTATTATTTGTATGCTGACAAAGAGAGCATACAAAGAGAGAGAGATCTTTTGAACATTTCTGAATCATGCATTTCCTGTTAAGTATTTATACCCTAAGTGAGACCACCTTTTGCTTGTTGGAGAAAGAAAAGGTGTTGAAGGTTTGGTACTATGAGTTATCATTGTGGGGTAAAAATTTTGTTTCCCTCTGACATTATGTAATCCTACTTTGTGAAAAGAAATCCATAGAAAGCAAATTATTTGATGCTAAATTCACAGCACACTCGGCTTTGCAAAGAAAACCCTGGGAGGGAAGAGTTTCCAACAGGGAACCCCAAGATTTTTACTACAGAGGGTTACTTTAATTCTCACTCCTCTTCCTACCAGCTTTCATCACCAGAACCCCATGGAAATTCTAATTTCTTCTTGGTGCTTTAGACTGGGTGTTGTGATATACTTCCTTAATTGAAGATTAAGGTTGTTTACCAAATAGTAACAATCTTCAGGTAATCGTTTTTGACCTTGACTCAAAAGTTTTGTTTTTGTCTTGACTTATCTCTTTGTCTGGACTAATAATCTAGGCATACAAAATTCTTAGAAAATTGCACCGTCCCCAAAAAAAGCACACAATCCTTAGACATACAAAAGACTGGTTATTCTATAGATTCCCTAGAACTGAAAGGGACCTAAGAGGGGACCATCTAGCTTAAGCCTTTCATTTTACAGATGAAGATATGGAGGTCCAGTGAGGTTAGGTGATTTGTTCAACATGGTACAAATAAATAGTGGGTCTGGGATTAAAACTCAGATCTTCTAGTCCAATGTTCTTCCCAATTCAATTACAATCAACAGACGTTTATTAAGCACCTACTATGTGTAAGCCATCACACTAGACTCTCAGACTTACACAGTCAAACTTTGGGGTCCAGTGTATTACTTAATGGGTCAATTTCCTCTCCAGATACATTGTCCTTTAAAAGCCACACTCTGAAACAGCTTCTGACAAAAAAAAATCTGCTGCTTTGAAGACTAATGTGGGGGGGAGGTGGGAAGGGCATATTGCTAGCCTATGTGCAAATAACACTTCCCCTCCCCGTCCTCTGTTACTCACCTCACCTTGTGCTAACACTCACATTGGCCCTGTTGGACCGATGTGAGATAATCGTAGCTGGTGGGCCATCGTATGTAAGTCTGTGTGTAAGTCTCTTGTGTAGCTAAACAGCAAACCTGGAAGGGATTATCAGGAGAAGAGGGAAGGGTCCATTGTTCAGCAGCAACCTTCCTCCCCCAACCTGCTGAGGTTTGTGGGTTATCCAAGTGGAATGGTGAGTATTTTGGAAAATGGCTGCCGTAAAGGCAATAGCAGTTCTCCTATATATATGACGCAAATGAAAGTCACCTGTCATCTATATGCAGTCCTTCTGAATGCCATGCATCATCCCAGCATCAGAGCTACAAAGGAGAAAGTCATAGATGGAACCCAGGACCTTCAAATGTGGGGGGATTTTTACAGGACATTCAACACCCTAATTCCTCAAATTTAGAAAAATCTCTCCCTTAGCTACCTCCAATTTTACTTCATTTTCTTTCTTTGTGGGTTTTTTTTTTACTTGCCAGACATAATTTTTCCTATGTGCCTGACAAAATGCTGGATTCTAGGAGCAAATGAATGAATGCTGCAACTCTTAGAGTTGTGGGTCTGGATCAGAAAAGATCCCAAGATGTAGTCTGGTCCCAATAATCTCTAAGCTACAGGGTGCTGGTATGGTTGGAATAGGTCTTAGGTATACATAGCAGGGGGAAGTTACTTAATCCTTTTTACCCCCAAATATGCAGCCTTTGCTCTTACTGTAAAACAGAGCAGCCCGTTAGGATATGATTGTAAATAATCCTATTATTTGACTATTCAACCAACTAGTCTTCTGGGATCACCTCCTGGGAGAAGGTTTAAGTTGAATGTTCTATATATAGACTCTCATGATTGAGGACCTTAAATCAATCAATAGTTATTTATTTATTAAGCACTCACTACATGCCCTGCACTTTGCTAGGCACTGGGAATATAAATGCAAAGAATGAAAAAATCCCTACTTAGGAAGTGCTTAGGACATTCTAATGACTCAAGGCTGAAACTAACCATGAGGTTAGGCTGGTACTGATATAAAACAACTTCTGATGCTGCTGTTTGGACAGAAATGTTGAGTGGCAGCTTGGTAACTGTCCATTTCTTAGAATGTGCTTCCCCTTCCACTTGGCCCAAATTTAGGACCCTTTTCTGATCTGAGTTCCCACAAGGCTCAAAGGGGCTAAGATTAGCTTGGCTCCCACACCATGGCTTCATCAATCCAAATTTCTTTGTATTACGACAATATACCTGTGACTTTAGTATGTCCCAAAGAATGGAAGGAGGCATCAAAGGAAACCCCTGGAAGGTAGAAAAGAGGGTACCTTGCTGCGAGGCCATCAAAGACCAAAGCACTCTTGCTCTGGTTTGAAACCAGCTTTATTAAAGGCTTAAAATAAGGATTGTGCACTAGTTCAGTCTCCTGGGTATATTTCCCCCAATGATCCTGGAAAAGAAAGTTGCCAAAACTCTCTATGAAAAAGCAAATGAAAATGTCACTGCTATTCAGTGCCTCAGTCAGCTGTCTTGTTCATTAATATCTCCAGACCATTTCTTCTTCATCACTGCAGTGGATGCAGGGGAAAACACTCCTCACCTGTTTGAAGAGCTCTGTTAATCTCTTCACTTCCGTTTAACTATATTTGTCCCCAGACTAAATAATCCTGGTCCATTTACAATTTTGACTTAGTACCTATTTTTCAACCCTTCGGTTGTTTTCATTGCATTTCCTGGAACTTTCTACAAGTTCATCACATCTCTCAAACCAAGGGCTCCAGGTTAGATATTACACTCTGGTATGGGTATCAAGCAAGTTATTCGTATATGCTTTTCTCATATTTAGACATCTCAATATCTGGCACAGCATGGCAGTTTTGGAAGATTTGTCCTCTAGTAGTGAAGCCCTAAGGCATGAAAAGTGATACCAGGTCACAGGGTCAAGGAGTGAGTTTGTCAAGTTGAAACCTGAATCAATGGGCCCATATAAAACACTAGAATGGGGCAGCTGGGTGGCACAGTGGATAGAGCACTGGCCCTGGAATCAGGAGACTTGAGTTCAAATCCGACCTCAGACACTTGACACTTACTAGCTGTGTGACCCTGGGCAAGTCACTTAACTCTATTGCCTCAGCAAAAAATAATAATAATAATAAAATAAAATACTAGAAACACATCTTGGATCAATGTCAACAAATAATCTCAGAGTAGGTGGTATTATAAGATATTCAGAAAAGTGATACTGAATTTAACCTGACTCCTGTCTGTATAGAACTCAACAACCTAAAGACATTAAATCCAGTGGTTTCTTGCTTTACAGTGATGATAGGGAAACACACTTGGTAAACACCTGAAATGTGACAAGAGGGAAATCCATAGCATCCATGTTCTCAGCTTCCTGACCAACTGAAGACTTGCCCAATTTCACTCAACCACATTGATCAATAGCAGAAAGGGGTGCAGCAGCTCTCCAAAACTTATTAGAGGGCATGCATTCTTATCTCCTTAGCAACTGGTGTTGGTGCAGATGCTTGGGTTGAGAAAGCATTTAAAGTTAAAATGTTTATTAAAGTAATAGCAGCTTAAAGGGGGTGGAAGTGGGGTTGGTAACCTCAGGTAGTTGCTACGTGCCACCATATGCTCAGGTGGTTAACCTCTCATCAATGGAGTTTATATTGATTTTGAGAACCATCCTGGCTATTTAGAAAAATAATCTCAATTTTATGAGTTTGTTTGGTTATTGTCTCCAAAAATGGTCCTGAAGTGGGTAAAGACAGGTGAGAGAGAGAATTCTGAAAGAAAGAAAAAGAATGAAGAACACCTGAAGCTTCAGTGATATAGAATGTGATATATCAATCTTGATCTTGAAAGCACATAAATTGTGTTAAAAGACATGTATAAGAGATTTTCTGGTATGGGTGTAGGGGGCCTTCAGGGGTATCACAACCACAAAGACAATTGTCCTGTTTTGAAGGCTGTAACATTTGTGGTGGGAATGTGGTGCCCACCCAGAGTAAGGTGGGAATATAAACCTGATTAGCACAGATCACTGGGTACCATTCAGGCAACAGAAGTCCCTCCTGTGTAGTCCCTTTGGTAAGGAAACCATTTGAGTTACAATATCTTAATGGGTCCAGGTCTGATAATAAAGACCAATGGGTGATAAAGGAGGTTACATTTTTGTTCTCTGATTAAAAAAGAGATTTCTTTTCTGTACAGATTAGTTGCTCCAAAAGTTACTCTGCACCTCATGGGGATTAGCAAGTAGAAAAATATCCCCTGTGCTTGCTAAGGTGTGCTCCCAGAAGTAGAACTGTATTTGAGAAAATCCTAGCAACAGTAAAGTCAGCATGAAGTAGGCAGACCTGCATAAACCCATTTCTATGGAAGGTCTTTGGCTTGCCTGAAGACAAGTGGAAAGACCTTTGTGTGTCCAAGACTCTTCATGACTGTGCCTCCCATGGTGATGAACTATGTGACAGTTACCACTAAATTCAAAGCCATTTGGAAATCAGTTAGCTAGAAGGTTGCAGCATAAGCAAACCTAAGATTTGTGGTTCCATGTCCCAGGAGAACTAGTTGTATAGCTGGCCATTCCTTTTTAATCTAATTTTAATCTGATCCCCACAAAACGACAGAATTCCTAAAGGTAACTCATGAATAACTTCTGCCAATCTTAGCTACCTCTCTTTTTTTCCCTTTCTCAGATCTGCTATCACAGATCTGATGTTGGAATTTTATTCCGTCTGATTTTTCTCTCTCATTCTTTCTCCTCTCTCCCCCTCCCAAATTTTTCCTCTTCCAGGATGACTCCAACATATCCCATAAAATGCAGGATGTTCTGAAGTCCTGCCTAAAAGAGGAGGAGTCATTTAACATTCAGAATTCCATGTCACCCAAACATGAGAGTAACAAAGGTGACCAAGATGACTCGGAAGTGAACTGTCTCCAGAATAATTTAACATGAAGCAAAGGAATAGGAAGAGGAGGAGGAGAAGAGGCGGGAAAGAAAATTGACCTATTGTACAGTCCATTTCTTGTAACCATCTGTTAAACTTTTCCTTTTTCTGATTTCATGGCATGCTTTGATGTATTTTGTACAGAACGGGGGGAAAGCCCCACAAAATATGTGAAGAGCCTAAGCTGAATTGCGTGCATCGGGGTGTTTGATCTGTGCTGTCTGTATATTGCTTGGGTTAGTTCTGCTGCTGTGATTTCTAAACCTTTGCTGTTATTCAACTGACTTTTTTTGTACTTTGATCCACCTTTTTTTGAAATACAAGTAAAAGCAAAAAAAGAAAGTTCTTGAAATAAAACATTTTTTAAAAGTTGCCTGGCTTTGTGGGGACTGTTGTCTTTCTTCCCTGCCCATTTGTTCTTCTTGGTTCAAAGTGAAGACATCATTAGCGATGAACTGTCAGTCAGTATTCAGTGAGCATTGTCCACTCCTCCCCCCTCCCCCCATCCCAGCCTTCTAATTCCACCCGTTTTAAAATGCTTTGTTTTCTGCATTTTCACTCTGGGATGGGGAATGGGTTCCTAGAGCGTATCCCAGTAGCATTATCCCAGAACGTGCCCTTCACTCTTTCACAGACCAGGGTGACATCAGGACCCATGCTTGTGGCTTAGTGGACTTTAAAGCTTGCCCTCAGCCCCTCCTACCTTGTCCTCTATCCATTTAGACAAATTTAGGGGGCAATATTAACACTTAAATTTTTTCTCTTAAGCATGATTAAAGAGAATTCTTTTGGCTTTCTTTCTTTTAACTAGGGACTTATTAAAGTATTCTGTGGAACACATCAGTACAATAAACCTTCCCAGGAGCCCATAAAGGAAAAAGCGTATCAGGAAGGGGGCGACAACAAAAAAAGAGGAGAGAGGAGACAGGTGCAATAGAGCTGCAAGTATTTGTGCCCAACCTGTGGCAGAACATTCCAAGCTCATATGGGTCTGATAGCCGTAGTCGTACACACTGAAATTTGTCTCTAGCATAGTGATGCCATTTTGGTCCTCTTCGAGAACAAAGGACAACAACCAATCGGAGACCCAAAATATAGCCTGTAGAGTTGAAAAGGAATTTGCCAGTGTGCCGCTGTAACTCTTAGAGCATGACATTGGTCTTCTGTGTTTGTCTCTCCTCCTCACTTTGGTTTGTGACAGAATGGCTTTGTCTTAAAGTGCTAGCCCTGCCATAGACTAGTTTGTCTTTGAATCCTTCAACCTTTCCTTCAGTCATCACTCTTCCTTCCTGATAGGGACCCATTACTTTTTTTGGGGGGGGGGGAACACTAGGCAATGAGGTTAAGTGACTTACCCAGGGTCACACAGCTAGTGAGTGTTATGTGTCTTAGGCAGGATTTGAACTCAGGTCCTCCTGACTCCTGGGCCAGTGCTCTATCCACTGCACCACCTAGCTGCCCCCAAGCATCCATTACTGTTGTGCTAGTTGGAGAAATCCCACTTCATAATACAAAGAATGGCTGGGGGAAAAAATGTCCCCTATGTCTTCCTCATATCAAGACTTTCATGTCCTATGTCTGATGTCTAGACATAATGCATGGTAATGGTACATCTCAAGATTAAAAACATAAAATGTTTCAAATCCCAATATGACAACAGTTAAATAAGGGGAGTGTTTTTGAGCAAGGGACCTTTCTAGCACCTCTCAGATTATATATACCTCATTAAAGGTTGTCAGCTTCTAGCAAAGGATCTAGGGGCAGCATGCCCAGGGACCCTCAAATCTGGCACAGAGTTTGGAAGGGAGAAGGTATGGTTTTTGTCTTCAACTCTCAAGAGAGGATGGGAAACAGGCAACAAATTCTCTAGCAAGACAAAGAGTGGGATGGATGTAGATAGTAAACACATAGGACTTCCTCTCCCTGGCCCTGACACCTCTTCTCTTTTTTCTCTGGCTTCTTGCTAGTCCAGAGCTGATCTGACTTCCCCGCACCTCCTACCCCAGACCATCATGTCATATCTCACTCTTTCTGCCAGGCTATTGGCCTGAGTATGTCTCCATTTCTCTCTTTTTCTTAGTTCGCCTATCATTTCTATACTCATGGTTATAAGTCGCATAACTATGTGAAATAGTTTCAACAAAGATCTAAGAGACCTTGAAACAATTCCTATTAACTATTTTCTGAAATTATTAACTATTAACTATTTTCTGAGATGTATTCCTCTGTATGTTTGTAGTAATTGTTGAGTATTGTACTTTCCATGTATGTGTCATTTATTTTGGACTTACCTGTTTATATTAGCTAGAAATTTCCCCCCAAAGTCTTGTGTACCCCCTCTGTACTTTCTCTATCTCTCTCTGTGTCTCTGTTTTTCTTTGTCTTTCTCTCTGTCTCTGTCTCTTTCCCCTCTGGCCTCCTGGTGTTTCTCTTCATGATTATTTTAATGAGTGGGATTCACAATAACCGAGTGATCTATTAGTCATTTAATAAAATATTCTGATAACTTGTTAGAAAGGGAGTCCTTTTCTAAAGCTTTGTTTATAACAGACCAGAGAAAAGTAAAACAGTAGTGTTGGCAACAAGAGAGGAACTGTAATCAACTAGGTCAGGAGTTCTTTTTTTTAAATTCTTTTTTTATTAATTTATTTTGCTTTATCAATAATCACTTCCATATGCTTTTGAGTTTAAAATTTTTCTCCCCCTTCCTCCCCACCAGCCTCCCCAAGACGACGCACAATCTGATTTGGCTATACGTTTACATTCCTATTAAACATATTTTCACATTAGTGATGTTGTAAGTAAAAATTAAAACCAATAGGAGGAACCATCAGAAAGAGGAAACAAAACTCAACAGAAGAGAAAAAAAATAGCAGTTCAACTTCCATAGTTCTTTCTTTGGATGTGGATATGTGATTTTCCATCAGAGGCTTCTGGAGATGTCTTAGATCCTTATATTGCTGGGAAGGGTTAACTTTATCAATATTAGTCATCGAACAACGTGGCTGTTATTGTGTACAACGTTCTCTTGGTTCTGCTCACTTCACTCAGCATCAGACCATACAAGTCTTTCCAGGTCTTTCTGAAGTCCACCTGCTCATCATTTCTTATAGCACAGTAGGATTCCATTACATTCATATACCACAACTTGCTCAACCATTCCCCAATTGATGGGCATCCTCTCAATTTCCAATTCTTTGCCACCACAAAAAGAGCTGCTCTGAATATTTTTGTACATGTGGGTCTTTTTCCCATTTGTATGATCTCTTTGGGATATAGTCCTAGAGGTGCTATTGCTGGGTCAAAGGATATGCACATTTTTATAGCCCTTTGAGCATAGTTCCAAATTGCTCTCCAAAATGGTTGGATCTAGGTCAGGAGTTCTTAACTTAGGATCTACAAAACCCCCAGGGGCTTGCGGATAGATGAAAGGGTGTCTGGGAACGAGTATGGGAAAAAAAATTACATCTTTATTTTCACTAAACTTTGGTTTCCTTTGTAATTCTATATATTTGGTATTCTGCATTTTAAAACATCATAGGCTTCACCAGATTGTCAAAGAGGTCTGTGACCCCAAAAAGGTTAAGAATCCCTGTGCTAAACTAGGGTAACAACCTTTTCCCAAACCTCTTACAAGATGTGTGCTGCTTCTATCCCTTACACAGAGGCTGACACAAGTGTGCAGAGATGTGATCTCTTCCCGCAGTCTGAATTATGAAATTGTAGAGAAGAATGAAATAGGATTATTATTAGAGGCACCGACTTGGGGTGTGGGTTCTAGAAAGCCAGGAGAAGGCAGTGAAAAGTAGATGAGGAGCAGTTAACTTAAAGGGTGTCAGACCTGGAGTCAGTCCCTTGGATGAAGGAAGATCTGTAGCTAAATATTAAAAAAAATTTTTTTTGTATGCAGAGTCCTCCAGGAACAAGGTGAAAGTGGATGCTGGCCCTTTTTAGATAATGCTGCAAAGCAGTCATTCGCTCTGGCCCCTCAGCCTCTGGCGAGGTAGGCTGCCTGCCAGAATCCCGTCTGGCCTGCCCAGTCACCCAGACGCAAGTGAAATACAGGCAAGGGAGAGCCGCCACATGAAACAGACAAAGGAACCATGAGCAGACAGATCCCTTCAAGCTAACTCTGAGGGCCGACCTGAAGGAAGGAGGAGAGGCTGCCTGTGGGGCCAGAGGAATGTGAGAGCAGCTCGATGTACAAGGACTCAGCCGCCGAAGGGCATCCCTTTGCTTTGCGGCGCTCCCCTCGATCACCGGGAGCCCTTGCTGCTGGCTCCATTAGCCTTGCCTTCCAGCTCCTGGAAGAAAAGGAATCAGCCTTTCTTCTCTCTTGGCTTTTTATTTATTTATTTTGGGCCCCTGAGGTCCAATCCCAGTGGGCAGCCCGGATCTACTTTCATTAATCATGCTGCATGACGCTGCCGTGCACCCTCCCGGGCTCGGCGGCTTTGAGGGACAGCCAGAGCTTCTGGTGGGAACTGTTTGCCGCTCTAATTGACCTTCACAGGGGAGGCTGGGAGGCAGCAGGCTCCATCATTTGCTTCTCTTTACACTGGCTGCTGCTTCAGTCTCTTCCAAAAGGGATGTCTTCCTTCCCAAGCATCGCCTCGTTCTGTGGCCAGCTAGGGCAGAAGTTCAGCCTCCACTTTACAGAGAGAGAAACTGAGGTCCTGAGGCCAGCTGGTGACTTGCCCAAAGCCATCATAAGGCCAAGCAGTGTTGTTAGGAGTGAATATGGTATTGTACCGAAATGCTAAGGGAAATGACAGCTCCCCCACCCCCACCCCCTTGGCGTCTGGAGTGAGTTCCCACAGGAAAAAAAAGAATTAACCTTGGTTTCTGTAGCCATTTGGAATCTGCCAAGAAGCAGACCCATCACTCATGCCTTTGAAGTACATAAAAAGGTGTTCAAATGAGGGAGAGACATGTTTTCCTGCTTTCCTCTGGCCAAAACTATAAAATAATAGATTCAAACGTTGTTCATTAATAATAGGAAACGAGTTCAGTATGGTAGTTGCCAGGGAGAAAGGCAGTCAGGGCTACTGGGTGCTATTTCCTGTTCTACTTAATCATGATCCAACTATAACCAACTCACTTCTCTTCTCTGTGCCTCAGTTTCCCTCTCTGAAAAAAATTGAGTAACACCTAAGCCATGGTGATCCTGCAGACACCATCGATTTAGCACTGATTGAGAAGGTTTTGAGATCTTTAGCTCTGAGGGGGTTAGGAAGTACTATATTTGACTTCCATCTCCTAAAGTGCTATATAAATGTCAGCTATAATTATTATCTAACT